CCCCAAAACCCCAAAACCCCAAAACCCCAAAACCCCAAGGTGATGAATTTCATAGTTTTAGAAGCAAATTATTGCTAGAAATCGACTACCGATGTTCATTCATTAATTTAGTTGTTAACCAACTTTCTCATGAATATAAAGAGTCCTTAATTGAAAGATATAACTTAATAAATTCTTAAAGATACTATCAAAACCTAATTCACAAATAACAATGTCAGAAGAAGTAAAGATCGATACTAACCTATATTCAAGACAAATCGGAACCTTCGGTATGGAGACCATGGGCAAGCTCATCAAGATGAATGTGCTTATCGTTGGATGCAGAGGTCTCGGAGTGGAAATCGCAAAGAATCTCATTTTAGCAGGACCAGCTTCAGTCACGATTTATGATCCTAACCTTGTTCAATGGGGAGACTTAGCAAGCAACTTCTATTGCAGAGAGGAACATGTAGGCAAACTCACTAGAGTTGACGCCTCAATCTCAAAATTGCAAGAATTGAACCCATATGTCAAGGTCCAAGCAATCCCAACTCTTACTCTAGAAGATCACGCAAATTACAATGTAGTCGCTTACACTGAAACTTTCGAAAATGTCGATAAAGTGATTGAGGCTGATGAGTTCTGCAGGGCCAGATCAATTGGATTCATCTACAGTGGTCTCTTTGGACCAAGTGGATTCACCTTCTTGGATTATGGAGAAGAGTTCTTCATTAATGATGCTGATGGAGAAGAGACAAAATCTTTCATCGTAGCTAATGCTACTCAAACTAACCCAATCATTGTCACAGTTCATGAAGACAAGAGACACAAGTTTTAGGACGGTGATCATGTTTAGTTTAGAGAGGTTGAAGGCATGACTGAGTTGAACAGTCTCCCACCAACCTAGATCGATGTAATTGATGGCTTCAGTTTCAAGGTAAAAGTTGATGGAACTGGATTCCAAGCATATAATAGACAGGGTCTTGTCGAAAATATCAAGGTACCCAAGAAAGTATCTTATCATAGCCTTAAGCAATCAATTCACAACCCAATAGCCTCATCATAATACGGAATGCTAGAGACCCCAGATCTTAGATATTTCGGTAGATCAGACTAACTTCACTTAGCTTTCGTTGGAATCTTAGAGTTCCAAAAGGCTAACGGTAGACTTCCCCAGAACAATGAAGAAGATTTCTAACAAGTATTTGCTCATGTTAAGAGAGTCAATGAAGAGAACAAAGCAACCGATGGAATCAATCTAGAAGAAATTGAAGAGAAAGTAGTGAGAAACGCTGCTCTCTATGCTCCAGCCAGTCTTTCACCAATGGCTGCATTCTTCGGAGGTATCGTTGCTCAAGAAATCGTAAAGTATACTGGTAAATATTCACCACTTAAATAATGGCTTCATTACGATATCTTTGAAACTCTTCCAAGAGAGGAGGCTGACAGAACTCCAATGAACTGCAGATATGATGATTAAATTCTTGTATATGGAAGAGAAGTTTAAGAAAAACTTAAAAAAGTAAAGACCTTTATGGTTGGTGCTGGTGCCTTAGGTTGTGAGTATATCAAGGCTTTCGCTTTAATGGGAGTTGGTTGCTCAGAGGAGGGAAGAGTTGCTGTAACTGACAACGACAATATTGAGGTATCAAACTTGAACAGACAATTCTTATTCAGAAAGAATAATGTTGGAGACTCAAAGTCTAAGGTAGCTTGTGAAATTGCTCATGACATTAACAACAACTTGAATGTCAAGGATTATCAAACCAGAGTTGGTTCAGATACTGAAACCGTCTTCAATGATCCATTCTGGGAGAGTCTTGATTTCGTAGTTAATGCAGTTGATAATATCAAGGCTAGACTTTATGTTGATTCTAGATGTGTTTGGTACGCAAAGCCACTTCTCGAATCAGGTACTCTTGGAACAAAGGCAAATTCTTAGATGGTTATCCCATATAAGACCCAATGTTATGGTGACTCTCAAGACCCACCTGAAGAAGCTATCCCAATGTGTACATTGAGAAATTTCCCCAACCAAATCGAGCATTGTATTGAGTGGGGAAGAGATCTCTTTAGCAAGCTCTTCTACGACACTCCAAATGATGCTGCCAGTTATATTGACAAGCCATTAGTTTTCTTAGGCTAACTAAAGCAAAACACCACAACTTCAGGTGTAAGATCAGCCATGGAGGAAATCAAGAAGATTGTTGACTTGAAGAAATCTGCTAATTTCTCACAATGCATTGACGTTGCTAGAAACCACTTCGAATCAATGTTCAATCATCAAATCGCTAACCTCCTCCATATGTTCCCAGAAGATCATTTGGATAAAGAAGGATCACCATTCTGGTCAGGACCAAAGAGAGCTCCATCACCAATTCCTTTCAATCCAGCTGATGAACTCCACGTTCATTTTGTAACCGCATGTGCTAACTTGATTGCTTACACTCTTGGTATCCCATAAAATAGAGACACAACTTTTATTGCTCATGAAGCAGCCTTGATTAATGTCCCAGAATTCAAGTTTAAAACTATGAGAGTTGAACTTCCAGGAGAAGAAAACAAGAACAATTAAGAGGGCACTGGAGTTGGCTAAGCTGACGTAGCACCTGAAGACGAGGAAATTTTAGCTGGACTTCTTCAACAACTTAAAGTTGAGGATATTGGACTCTAATCAAAGGATTTCTTTGCGGCAGAGTTCGAGAAGGATGATGATTCTAACTTCCATATTGACTTCATCCATGCTGCAGCCAACCTTAGAGCCAGAAACTACAAGATCCCAGAATGCACTCAGCAAAAGACCAAGATGATTGCAGGAAAGATTATTCCAGCTATTGCAACCACAACTGCAATGATCACTGGTTGTGTTTCAGCTGAAATCTATAAATTCGTTCAAGGCTTCCCAGAGCTTGAAGTTTACAAGAATGGATTTATCAACTTAGCTCTTCCACTATTCCTCTTCTCTGAGCCAACTGAGGCTAATAAGACTCAATCTAAGGAGTATGATCCAATTCTTATGGGTAAAGTTAAAGCCATCCCAGAAGGCTTCACTATTTATGAAAAGATTGTAGTTAATGGTCCAATGACCTTTGATCAATTCTTCGAAGAGATGAAGACCAGATTTAACATTGAAGTCACTCTTGTATCATCAGGTCAAGTAGCTCTCTATAATGGCTATCTTCCAGGAAACAAACATGCAGTTAGAAAATCAAGACTTATCGAAGAAGTTTATAGAGAAATTACTTCAGAGCCAATTCCAGAAGGAAGAAAATATCTAGCTATAGAGCTAGGTGGTGAAGTTATCGGAGAGGGATGCGATTTCAACATGCCAACCACAATTTACTATTTCTAATGAAAATAATGATAATATATTGATTAGCATTAACAATTCAACATTAACTTTCCTCTTTATTTTCTCAATTTTTGTGATATGGGGTTTTGGGGTTTTGGGGTTTTGGGGTTTTGGGG